AACCAGCGCAAAGTTTCCCTGTGCACTCGCAGGAGAAGAAGAAGCAAAGACGGCTGAAGGGTTTAGGATTTAAGATGAAGCTGGCTGAGCCCAAACCCTACACACTGCAAGCAACACCCTCAGCAGCAGTAGACGGCTTGGAGGCGAGTTCTTGTTTTAGGGTTAAGGGCAAACCCTAAACCAAAAACCATAAGCAAACCGCATGCGACTGTGGGTTCATGACTGCAAAAGAAACCCTTCGTACTAAACCGCAACCTAAGCCCTAGACCCTAAACCCCAGACATCCGATATATCTATGTTTTTAAGGCAGCAGCAAGAACTGCGTGCCTCCTGCTTGTCAGTTGCTTGCCCCCCGCTGCGCTTGTTTTAGGCATTGTCTCCTTGATTGCACTGGGAACAGGCCCAGCAGGAGCAGGGGCAGAGAAGAGGAAGAGCAAACCAACACTTTATCTCAGCCGAAGACAAAAGACAAAGACAAAAGCAAATCAACAGCACGAACAAACAAGCAATAATGCAAATTACCGCCCATGAGGAGATGTAGCTAAGGCCGCCAGACACTCCACAGCGAGACTGCGGCCTTCAGCAGAAGCCGCTGGCCCGTAGCTGCAGGCCTGAACAGGCAAGAGACAAGACAGAAAGAAAGAAATGGAGAGAAAAAACAGACAAACAAACAGGCAAGCCATACTAACAAACTAGCACTAGAAACAAAGAGGAGCGTGCACTACTAAACGAACAGAAACGAATGTGGACAAACCAACAGATTAGGAAAAGAAGCAAGAAAGACACAGAAATGAAACAGAATATAGATAAAGAGGCAAAACATACTACAGATCAAACGCCGAAATAGAATACACATAGAGTGTTGAAACGGAACACATGCAACGAGATACAACAGAAAAAACACAAGCAAGGGGGTAAAACAAAACGCAGACAAAGCAACGCAGGAAACAGCAAACGTTAAAGGCGGGCGCTACTTCTCACATCAACTGTCGGGTGCAGAAAGCGCAAACGCTCTCGCTCGGTAACGCCCATCTGCTGCTGCTTCTGCTGCTGCTGCTCTTGGTCCTGCTGCTGCCGCTGCTGCTGCCGCTGCTTGTCTTCCTCTGCATCTTGAGCTGCCAGTTCGTCTCGGGCTTTTGCACGCTCAACACTGTCTGGTTTGGGGTAGAGGAAGCAGCAAAGGGCCAACAGGAGTTGGCAGTCTTCTTCTGGAGAAGGTTCCTGCTGCTGCTGCTGCTGTTGGCTGTACTGTTTCTGCACGGTTTGCTGTAGCTTATTGTGATCTACTGGCAGCAGCAAGGGATGCAGCTGCTCACGGCAGGCAAGCCTCAAGGCCAGCAGCAAGAAGGGTGCTTGGCAAAGAGGAGGCAAATGCCTCAGGAGGTCCCTAAGCCGCAGCACAACACAAGAGACAAACGCATCAGCCGCTGTCCGCAATGGCAGCAGCGGCAGCAGCAACAGCATTTGCCCCTGCTCTTTTAGTCCGGCTTTCGTTGTACAACTCGTGCAGGCAATCTGCGAGTCATGATGATAAAAAATGCATTCCAGGAGCCGCCTCAGCAGTAACAGCAACAGCAGCAGCAAACGCAGCACTAGCAGCAGCAGCACCAGGTTGAGGGCCTGGAAATGATGCAGTATACAAACGCACATGAGTTTGTTCAGCGTCTTCATTCGCCGCAGCAGCAAAAACTCCACAGCCTCGTCGTTGGCCGTCACGTTTCGCAGAATGTGCAGCAGAAACAAACCCTGCTCCTTCCAGTAAACATTTCTACAGCCACACATAACACCAAATAAACCCTAAACCCTGCTATTTCCCCTACAGCCACGCATTACACCAACTGAACTCTAAACACTATATAGTCGTCCCCTATATATATATATATATATATATATACTATATATATACAGGAGACGTTTCTAGTGGCACGAAACGCCAAATATCGTAAACAATAAATCCTAAACACTATTCCTTCCCGTAGACACTGCTATGGCCACAGAAAACCCTAAACCCTGCACCCCAATCCCTCATCCCTCTCCATACTTAAGCCTATACTCTAAACCCTTAACTCTAACCTCCCAACCGTAAACCCTAAACCCTTGAAAGCTACGCACTGGGGATCACGGGGGGCCTCGTGGAGAAGCAGCAGACAGGGCAACAAGTGATAATCTGCAGCAGAAACAAAACCCTAGGCTGAAGGGTCCATACACCCGCAAGCAACTAAGCAGAACACTGCTGCCTCCCCCATTCCCACCGGCGGCAGCAACAGATTCAGTAGCAACAACAACAACAGCAACATTAGCGGTAAGAACGGCTGCTGCTGCTGGTACTGCTGCTGCAGTTCATCTGGCAGCTGCTGTAGCTAAGCACCTGGAACTGGCAGTTGGGGAGAGAAAACAGCATCGATTGCTGCTTTGTGTCTTGTGATGTTTGACAGCAGCATCAAGGTGATGCCAATGTGCAGGGGGACAGCATCCTCGTTCCCTTGCTGGTGCTGCTGCTGCTGCTGCTGCTGCTGCTGCTTCAGGTTTTCCATCAACACATTTGTCATGTCCTTGTACTCGTACAACATGAGGGAAGCTGCGCAGACACCGCAGCTCAACAAGAAAAAACCCACTTGTATCTGCAGATGCTCCTGGGTCCTCTACTCTACCTTCCATTACCTCACTGAGAACTTGAGGGCGTTCACCGCATGCCGTTTCCCCGCGACACCCTAGACACTAAACCTTACCTAAGGTTTCATTAGCAGTCAAATTAATCAACACTTCGGTGCTCATTGCGGAGAGGCGGCCGTCCCTGCTGCCAATGAGACGCAGGAGACGGCGCAGACCGTGGATGACGGGGTTGTGTTGGTGCTGCTGCTGTTGTTGCTGCTGCTGTTGTTGTTGTTGCTGCTGCTTCTGGCCGTGCCTGCTGGCGGAGAATCCCTCTATAAGGAATCGAATAAAATCTGCGTCCGCACTGCACTGCAGCAACAGCTGCAGCACTTGCAACAGGACATCGGCGCTCTGTTGCTGCAGCAGCAGCTGCAGCAGTTCGTTGTAAGAGCTCTCAGATTCCTCCCCCATATTTGTGCTGTTCTTTTCTTCTATTTGCTTGTTTGCTACTAACACCCCTTTATTAACCCTCAAGCTGAAGAAGGAGATGCGCAGAGTATGGCTCGCGGGGAAGCCGCTGCCTTCTGCCGCAGCAGCTGCAGCTGTGGGGCAGCAGCAGATAGAAGACAAATGATGAGAAAGAGAAAAAGGAAATATAAAGGAAGTACAGACAGCAGCAGCAGCAGGTGATGGGAGAAGATTGGGGCTTCCTGCTGTATACGGGGGCCCCTGCGCCGCTGCCGCCGGGCGGTGCCTCGTGAGAAGAAGCAAGAATTAGATATTAAATCAACATTTAATATTGAAAAATCAATAATCTCTGAAATATAAGACAGAATTACGCTTATTACAATAGCAATAGCGGCAGAAAGAGCCTGCATCGGTGGGGGCCCGCGATGGTCCACCACTGCGGCTGCTGCTGCCGCTGCTGCTGCTTGCAGCGGTTGCTGCAGCAGATCTCTAGGGCGCCCGCTGCAACAGCTGGCATTTTGAAATTTGCTGTTTTTTGTATTACATTTAAATCCGGAGCGGTGTCGCGAAGCCAGTTGTAGCAGCAGCAGCAGCAGCAGCAACGGCACACGCCTACAGCGCCTCTTTTGTCGGCCGCCACCGCCTCAGTTGCAGCAGACGGGCTCGCTGCTGCAAATTCAAATAATTTCCAACAAGCTGCACTAATAAATATCTTGAAGCCCGCTCAGCCTTCGGGCGGCGGTTGCTGAGACGGCAGCAGCAGCAGCTGCTGCTGCTGCTGCAGCTGCTGCCATTGCTGCGGTTTTTACTGTCTGCAGGCTGCTACCGGCGGAGGCCTGCCCTGCGGGAATGCAGCAACAGCACGAAGAGCAGCGGCAATCGCTGCAGCAAGCAAGTTGTACAGGGACACGAGACGAGCAGCGTGTGCAGCAGCAACGCACCCTCTGGCAGCAGCAACAGCAGCAACAGCCGCAACCGCAGCAGCACCAGCAGCAGCACCACCACCCTGATTGGACCTGGACATCACCATCCGCGCAACCTCTAACTGTCTCATCTCAGTACTACACCCCCGCCGATGATTACCAGCAGGATCCGCTGCAGCTCCAGCTGCAGCAAGTGCAGCAGCAGCATGACCTGGCGCTCCAGCAGCAACCTCCCGGGGCGCCACAAAGTGTAATTGCTGGGCCAGGGCAGCAGCAAGAGTGGCATGTGGGCAACTCGAACTATCCCCTGCAGCCCCAACTGGTCTACCCGCAGCAACAGCAGCAGCTGCAGCAGCAGCAGTTGCTGCATCAGCAGCTGCAGCAGCAGCAGCAACTGCTGCTCCTGCAACAGCAGCAGCAGGAGGAGCAGCAAGTGCAGCTGATGACGATGCTGCAGCAACAGGAACAGCGAATCCTTCACCGGGAGCACCAGCTGCGGGCAAACGACACGTTCAGCAACTCCGCGGTGCAGGAAGCAACGACAGGAGGAGGAGGAGGAGGAGGAGCAGCAGCAGCAGCAAACGACTCCCTGCACAGAACAAAGGAGTCTTATGCTCCTCCCCAACCCAGCCGAATGCACTGGGGCACACAGCAGCAGCAGCAGCCCCAGCCCATAGAATATTTCACCGCTCCTGCGGGCTTCCCGGAATATTCGCTTCGAGGGCAAGGCCCTTTGTCCTCCATGTACACGGCAGGCGCCGCATTGCAGCAGCAGCAGCAGCAGCAGCGCTTGCGACGTCACGTGATAGCAGGACACAACAGGCCTCAGTCAGCGACCGTTGCTGCTGTGGCTTCGATGAAAGGGAATTTGAAGGGGAAGGGGCGTTGTTGGGGTGTATCGCGCGCAGTGGTGGTGGGGTGTACGTACACCCGGCACCAGAACTACAATCTGCGGGGCCCTGCAAACGATGCACATCTCTTCGCCCATGCACTTGTGCAGCTGATGCGAGTAGAGCCTGACGACGTGCTGCTGCTTTCTGATGCTTTGCCTGATACCCCTTACAGAGGTAGCAGAAACAGCAGCAGCGGCAGAGTTCCCAGGGCCCCGCAGCAGCAAACAGCAGCAGCAAAAGCAAACAGCAGTAAAAGCAGCATTAACAGCAACAGCACCAGCAGCAAGGAGCATCTAAAGGGACTCGTGCTGCACCCCACGGTGGATGTATCACAGCTTGAAGATATACAGCCAAATCCCTCATTGCCGACTCAGCCAACAAAGCAGAATATTTTAATGTGTGTTTATTTGTTTCTTTTCTTCACTTACTTCTCTTTTGTCTCCTTCACGTTTGTGAATGCTGTCTTCCCGCCTTTGTTTCCTTTGTCTCCTGTGGCTTACTCGTCGTCTTTGTTTTCTCCGCGTCTTGTTCTTCTTCTTATTAGTCTCCTTTGACTCTTTTGTCTCTCCCGCACTGTCTCCCTTCTTAATAGCAAATTTGGCTGCGAAGGAACATTTTGCTGCCTTGCAGCAGCAGCAGCAACTGCCGCTGCTGCTGCTGCTGCTCAGACTCGGCTTAGGGGCTTGCCGTCGCTGTGCATGCATGCTTCTTTTCTTTTTCTCTCTCTGTATCCCCTCATTAGTTTGTTCGTATGTAATTCTTTTCCGTTTATTGTTTATTTTAGTTTCTTGTTTTCGGTTTTCTGTTTATTTTGTGGATTGCATATACTGATTTTTGCCCATGTATTTTGTTGTCTATTCAATTTTTTCGTTTGTATTTTATTCTTTTTCATTTACTTAGTTTGTTTGCTTTCGTTTCTTTGTTTTGTTGTTCGCTTCTATTTGTGCATTTGCTTATTTCCTCCGTCTGGTTAATTTACTTCTTTTCTAAAATTCTTTTTATTTAATGTTTTTTATGTTTCTCTAGTTTGTTGTTTGCGTTTATTTGTGTATTTGTTGCAGTGCTCTGAATTGGCTGGTGAAAGATGCAGTCCCTGGAGACAGGTCCGAGACGAGGAGGCCCCGAGGAAGGGGTTTATTTAATTGCATATTTTTGTTATTTACATATTTTAAATTGTTTATTAGTATGTAGATTTATTTACGCTTGCGTGCATGTGGGCGTGTTCTTGCATATATATATATATATATAAGAACACAGAAGGGTTCATTTTCGTTTACTAATGCATTTGTATTTTTCTCATCTGTCGTGTTGATTAGAAACACGCAAACACACACATATACATAAGCATATACATGTGCATATACATATATGCGTATATATATATATATGCATGTATATATTATCGTTTTTTATTTGTTTATTTAAAAAATGGTAAATGCATGATGAGAGCACTTTGCAATAAAATAGGAAACTATAGAGGAAATCCCCTTAATCTGTATTTCACTATCTATATATATTCTTATGTCAATGCTCATATAGATAGTTGTTAAAATGATTATTCTTTTCAATAAATAAACAAACAAACAAATAAATAAGTAAATATGTAAATATATAGTGCATGCAGAGGCTTACCTGCTGAAGCCGCATGCAAAGAAATGTTTGTTTCATTCTCCCTTGATCTCCTTCCTCCGTGGAGGCGTCTGCGGTGTATGTGCGGCATCTTATATATAAACCGGCCCTATGCTGCTTGTATGCATGCATACATGCATGCATGCGTCTTTGTTGTTGTTTGTCTGTAGGCTTTTCTTTTACTTCAGCGGGCACAGCACCCAAGTAGACAATCTCTCTGCATACGAAGGAGAAGGTTCGTCTTCCCTAAACCCTAAAGCCTAAACCCTAACTCCAAGGGGCTAACCCAGCGATGGAGCAGCAAGAAAGAGGACTTTATTAAAGGCTGTTTATTGGTGGGGTTGCTGCAGGATACGATGAGGCGCTGCTGCCAGTTGACTTCGATTCTTTAGGGAGCGAAGAAGATGCAAATTTGCTGCTAACGACTCACGTTAAAGAGGTGATGAGGGTTTCTGTGTTTTTTTTTGTAATTACACGCATTCCTTCTCCTGCCTCCTGCTGCCTGTACACCAGAAGATGATCTGTTGCAGCTTTAACACAAAAACGAATCTGCTGCTGCTTCGCTCGTTGCAAGTGTATATACATTGTGCAGCACGAGGAAAGCAGGGCTTTGGGGTGCTGGTGCTGGAAGGTGTAGATACAGCTGAGTTGGTAGCTGCCGGTGTTGTTATTCCATGCAATATCCTCTCTCTAGACTCCCAGAAAAGGAGCTGCTGCTGCTGCTGCACAGCTGCAGCCCTCGCTGCTGCTGCTGCAGCTTGGGGTGTACACCCGCAACCGCCATTCTGTTTCTACAGCGAAGCCTCTAGCTCGTGTTTGGCTGCTGCTACTGCTGCTACTGCTGCTGCTGCTGCTGCTGCAGTCAATATCCCTCCCCCTCTTCGTGTTGCTGCTGCTGCTGCTGCCAATATGCATCTCCCTCCTGCTGGTGCTGCTGCTGGTGCCTTCAGGTGCTGCTGAGCGTCTCCCCCCAAGTGCACGTGTGTATGATCTTAGACACCTGCGGGTGTCAGACAATACTCGACCCAGCAGGCACAGGCAGCATGTGGACCTTCATCAAAGGTGGGGCTTCCTCCTTAATGCATGCATGCGCTTGCATGCATGCATGCATGCAAGGATTTAGGGTTTAGAGTTTAGGTAAATGCTTGCATGCATACGTTCTTGCGTGCATGCGTGCGTTTGCATGCATGCATACGTGCTTGCATGCATGCAAGGGTTTAGGGTATAGGGTTTAGAGTTTAGATAAACGCATGCATGCTTGCTAGCATGTGTGCAAGGGTTTGTTTAGGGTTTAGGATTTGGAGTTTTACTCTCACCTCTACTTGCATGCATCCACAATCGCATGCAACAGCCGCAGAAGAAGCAACATTTGCAGCAGCACCAACAGAAGCAACTTAGTCGTAGCGGCAGAAACAGCAGCAGCAGCACCAGCATTTGTATCTGCAGCAGCAACAGAAAACATCATCTGTATGTGCAGCAGCAGCTGAAACAGCATCTCTATGCGCAGCAGCAGCAGCAGTAGTAGGAGTAGAATCTGGAGCATGTGCAGCAGCAGCATGCGGTTGATTATGTGCTGCACCTCTACCCTTGTGTTGTATGTTTGGTGATGTGGACGATGCATGCGTCCTGAATAAATATTTATTTTTTCTTTTCATCTGCTGAAGGTGTGAAACAAAAAGGGCTATGGCCGCTCTTAACGGACCCCACAAACCGCATGCAGCGAGCCAACTACAACTCCACTGTCTGGCTGGACCCTAGTGAGGTTTTCTTCCCTTTTTCGGGGCCTTGCATCATCTTTAAACTATATTAAATATATATTGTATACATGTAGTATATATACTCTTTATATGCATATATATATATATATTATATTTGGGCTGTATTATATACGCATCTACATTATATACATATATGTATATATATATATATATAGTGCATCGGTTGTATACGTAGTACGTAGTAAGTAGACTATATATAATGTAAACAATATACATATACACACACACACACTCATATATATATATATATATATATTACATATAGACATGCATGTACATATGCATGTACATGTGCATGTTTATGCGTATATACACCTATATAATGCATATAATATAAACATATACTTCAATATATATATATATATATATTTATTTATTTATATAGTTATATCTACATGAATTTGTATGTGAATATTCATCTATATCTCTATATATATAGACGGATGTATATGCGTATATTCATACTACGCTACATATATATATGCTGTAGAAATATGTTCTATGAACAGTAACTAGTTTATATTGTTGGCGGCATCTGAGTGGAGTCAGGGTGTCTGTGGCTGTGTTGTGTGTTGTCTCCTTTTCTTTTATCTTGTTGATTCGTGTATGGCTTCTTTTCTTGTATCTCTCCCCTTTGCTTTTCGTTATATTTTTTTTCTTTCTCTTTCACATGGAATACCTGGCGCAGCAGCAGCGCAGCACCTTCTTTCTCCTCCTCTTTGCTGCGCTGTATGTACACCTCAGATATGCAAGCCCAGCGCGTCCGTCCTCGCTATTTACCATGTGTAGAAATTTCTTCTTCTAATGCCGTTAGGTGCCCCGTTCTTTGTTCTTCCAGGCCACTCAGCGGCAGCAGCAAAGCCTACCTGCTGGCTGCAGCGCGTGAGCCGCTGCTGCTGTTGCTGCTACTACTAGTGCCGCCACTGCTGCTGCTGCTGCTGCAGCTTCCGTTGCAGCTGTTACTGCAGGTTCCCGTGCTACTGCTGCTGCCGTGCCTTTTACTGCTGTTGCTGAATCTTTTTGTGCTGGTGTTGCAATGTTTGTGAGGCTTTTGGGGTGTACGTTCATGCAGCATGGAGCCAAGTAGCTGTAGAAGCTGCTCTTCCTTCCATTGAACTCCCCGTCCGCCTCTCTCAAGGGGGGCCCCTTGCATTCGCTCCCCATTTAAGTGCTTCAGATGGAGGCAGACCAGTGGTCCACGGTAAGCACAACAGCAACAAAATGAGCAGCAACAGCTGCTGCTGCTGGTGCTCCTGCTAGAGGGAGATGCGCTGCGAGATAAGAGGGATGGCTGTAGAGGAAATAAACAAAACTCGTTGCATGCTGCATGCTGGATCATGTCTCCCAACCAGAGCGATTTGTTCGCGCTGAGAAAGGGAAGACAGATAAATAAACAAATAAATAGATGAATAATAAAATAAATAGGAAATAAAGAACAAGCTAATGCCTATTTTGTCTTCTTCTCTTCATTGTGTATACCCCCTAACTCCGCCTCTGATATCTCACGTTTGTCTCCTTATTCTCACCTACGTCGTCTTCACCTGCTGCTGCTACTGCTTCTGCTGCTGTTGCTGTTCTTAGGGATATTTACGTGGTGTTTGGTCTCCGTTCTCCTGGAGCTCTTCGGCCCTAACAACGCCTCCGGCGGCCGTCGGGTGTCTTATCAGGGCCTTATCGACCGCGTACGAAACCGCGTTAGGGACCTCAAGTGGAAGTAAGCAAGCAGCAGGAGCAGCAGCGACAGCAGTAGAAACAGAGTAGAATTCTTGATGGTGCTAAGTGCCTGAACATGACGCGTCTTTTTGGTCCTGCTGATGCTGCTTTTTAATTCTTTCCCCCCCTTAATCTCCCGAAAAAGCAATTGAACATCAGCAGCAGCAGCAGCAGGGTAGGAGCAGGAGCTGCTGCAATAATGCGTCTTTGCTTCCTCGCTTGCTGCTGCATGCAGACCCTTAATCATCTGGTCTGTCCTCTGTGCTTGCCGCATGCAAGGGGGCAAAAAAGGATGCACACAGTTGATGAGTTGCTGCTGCGCTTGTGCTGTTTGTTTGCTGCTGCTGCTGTTGCTGCAGCCGCCTCTTTGCGCTGGACCAAATGCCTGAGCTGACCGTACACACGGGAGGAAATGCCTCTTTTGATGATTTATTTTATTCGTTGGGGTGGCCCGCTGCATTCACTCCTCCTTCCTCGCCGTCTGCTGCTGCTGCAGCAGAAGGGGAAACAGGAGGAGCAGCAGGAGGAAGCAGCATCATAGACAGAAAGCTGCACCACACATTTGCAGCAGCACTGACGGCTACGCAGCGGCTCAGCGCGGCTTGCTGCGTCCAGCGAGGTGACGCAGCAGCAGGAGGAGCAGCAGCAGCTGCTGCTGCTGCTCCGGAACCCCCCAAGGAATTCATGGAAGGCTACTCGTTCCTCGACCCAGCAAAAGCATGGCTTGCGCTAACCTGTGGGGGCCCCATCTTCAACTTCCGTAACAGCAGCCTTCGCTCAGCTTCCTCCAATGCGCCCTTCTCCCTCAGCAGCAGCTCCCTGCCTGCGTCGCAGCTGGTGACAGAAGGCATGCAGCAGCAACAGCAGCTGCAGCAGCAACTGCAGCAGCAGCAGCAGCAGCCGTACACCGCAGCAGAGTGCTTCCGCCTCGTGCAGAGCAGAGAAGACTCAGCAGATTCTGTCGCCTCCTTTGATACCTTCGCCCCGAAGAAACCCCGGGCAACAGCATCAGCAGCAGCAGCAGCTGGAGGAGCTCCATGTGCGAGATGGGGGCCTCTAAAGAACGAAGAAGAAATGTACCGAGATACAGCAGACTGCGCAGCCAGCAGAAGCAGCGGAGACTCCCCTCTGCCTCCTGCATCATTTAAAAGCAGCAAAAAGACAGGCGTTGGCTTCCTCTACACCCCAGGGAGCACTTTGCTGCTTCCCCCTCAGAGAGGCCTCCACTCGTCGGCAGCAGCGGCAGCAGCAGGTCAGCGAAATGGTGAGGGGGGACCTATGGGCGGGGTGGGCCCCTCGGAAGTCTACTTACAGCAGCAGCAGCAGCAGGGTGCTGCGAGCCCTGTGGAAGCTGCTGCAACAGCACGAGAGGCGTACATCGTTGCTGCCGCTAAACATATAGAAGACCGATTTAATGTAGAGGCAGCAATAGGAGCAGCGAGCAACGCTGCTTACCAAGCGCACCTAAAGAAAGTGCAAGATGTACCCCCACAGGCGCATGCATTAGCACAGCTTGTCATGCAGCAGCAGCAGCAGCAGCTGCAGCAGCAGCAGCAGCAAGGAGGGGGGGGCCCCCAACCTTTAAATCAAAACACAGCCAGGGGCCCCCTCACAAGCAAAACACGAAAAATACCCATATATGATGCCTCCTCTCCCCCCATCTATGAGGCTACGCGCTCTCCTGACTGATTGATAGTTTGTCCTTTATATGAAAGCAAACAAAAAGATTATGTAGCTTCTTTTAAAATCAAAACAAGGATTTATTAATCTTTTAAAAACGAAATATTAATTAGAGTTTACTATACTTTAAAAACAAAATATCAATAAGGCTATACATATTCAGAAAGGGTTAGTACCCCATTAACAAACAAGAGAAGGAATTTAGAGACGCATAAACACAAAACAAACTACAGACCTACGAACGAAACAAAAACCCAAGAAATACCACCGACACCCCTTTTGTTTGCAGTGGGTAGGTATATATCTCTTTATTCATATACATGAATATATATATATATATATATATGTATATGTATACAGATATATGTATATCTCTATCCACATATGCGTGCTTATCTAATATATATATATATATAATATATGTATATGTTTACATTAGTAGTGCGGCATGAGCCTATTTACGTGATATCCTAACAAAGGCAGCATATGTATATATATATATATATATATAT